GAGAGCGACCCATTTGATTTGGGAAATCAAACGAAGCTTCCGAACTGCTGGGCAAGTGTCTGTTCAACAGCAATTGGCATATATCATTAGAGGAGACGAAGAAAGAGCGAGATTAAGTGCCCCAGCAGAAGGGCACCATTGATTGGGGATTTTGGGGTGCTACAAATGCTCAATTCCGAAGCGATTTGCCGTTGGTGATGATCGAAGAAACTGGAAAACTCAGTTGAGGGCACGAAGAAAGGAGCAAATTGGATGGTTTTCTGGGTTAGTTGTGTTAAGTGTAATCACTAAGTGTAGCCCACTATAGGAGAAAAGCCCAATAATATAATCTAAGGGCTTTACATTTGTATAATTGCAGGCTATTTAAAGATCCTAATTAATGATCCTAATTAATGGGACGTATATAATTTATATATTTGTCATGTATCAACCTTATTTATGACGGTACCCATCATATAAATTATTTAAATAGTCTCTTGTATTTACGAATTCATTTTAAATTCATTTTAATATGCAAAATTGATTAATTGGAAGGTTATAATTTAGATCCCATAATTTTAGGTTAATGATACTTTCCAAAACAAATTAAAATACTAAAACATTAAAAAAAAAAAAACTCTAAATTCCCCAAAATTGAAATCATAACCTCCCAAAATATCTCCAAATCCCGTCCAAAAATCTCCCAAATTCAAAATCTAAGAACTTTTTTCGCTTCATCCATGAGACGTTTAAAACTTCAGTTTTGGAGGATCATTTCTACATTACTATAGGATATATGCGTTTATATCTTGTATACAACTATAAGATATATACACATATAAGATATACATACAYATACAATATATACGAATATAATCGGGAATACTAAGAATATGAGACATTTAGAACTTCAATTTTCTATACACATAAACAAAATATATCCCCATATATACCAATCTTAACGGAAGACTAATAATTACAAATGGTATGGAAGACMATTTCTACAGAACTATAAGATATATRTATACACATATAAGATATATTCACATATACAATATATACCTATATACACGAATATAATCARGAATACTAACACAGTGAGACGTTTWGAACTTCCATTTTCTGTACACATACATAAAACATATCTCCATATATATCAATCTCAACAGAAGACTATTAATTACCCATGGTATAAACAGAAGGGGACAGGAGACGAGGAACACGTTGCACGACGTCTGAAACGTCCAAAGACGTCGACAGAAAGTTTATTCAGCGACGGAAATTGAAGGTTTGGAAGTGTCTGGGGAAGAAGAAATCAATACCTCGTTGATTTGGTGTACAATGAACGGCGTTGGAAACCTGCAAAGATGTCGACGGGAATGAACGGCGTTGGAAACGTGCAAAAGAAATAAATACCTTGTTCATAAAAGCCCTGAAGATGGAAAATGAAGGTCTGGCAGCTGACGTCTTTGCACCTTGGAAACGAAGACAACGGTGAAGAAAATCAGCTTTGCACGRTGGCTGGAGAAATTCGGCAGCAAACGAGGAAAGAGAATCGGTAGCAAAAATATTCATTTAACAAAATTAGTTGTTAATTGGTGAGAGAAAAAAAATCTTTTTTGAATGAGAGATTTGAGGAATTAAGGTTGAAATTTTGAATGGGGTCCACAAGAATTAAATGAATATAATTACAAATTAAGGATTCAAATCTTTAAAATTTAAAAATTATAATAAAATAAAAA